CCTAAGAGACCTGCTAAAACACTGTGGATTTCAATGTCTGCGGGCCAACAATACACATTTATAGCATTATGAATAAGCTCTGCCTTTATGAATTGTTCTGAATTTTGTGGAAGCTTTCTATCATCACACAACAACAAACAATAACAAGAACAGCAACAAGAACAACAAAAAAAGCTGTTAAAAATAATTGCTTTCTTTTTATTTCCACATAGCTGGTGAATATTTCATTAAAACCAAGCTGAAATAAAAATAATTTTAATTTACACATCGAATTTGCATATTTCAAGTTTTCAATAGAAACAGCAAAACAGTTGTATTTAAACAGGCTTAGCAACAGTAATTTCTGATTGCAAATAACTGCAATCTGATCTCTTACGGTTTCTCTTCATATTTTTTTTCAAGTGTAATTGTCAGACACTTCCAATAAGAGATGCATCTCTTCTAAATTGTTCTCCTGCCCTGAAAAGTGATTTGATAAAAATGGCACTGGGGGCTCCAGATTCATTATCTCACTGATTTTCCTACCCAATGAGCTCAGTTTGCAAGTAAATTTCTAACTGCCAGCTGCACAAACTCAGCCTGAATCCTGGATCCCTTCCATCTCATGCATCACCACCAGTAATAAATATCCTGTATGCCAGAGTATGCCCTCTATGGCATCTGTGCAGTCCCAGTGCCATCCGTGAATTTGCACAGGTGTTGCTGGGGGCAGACGTTCAGCTCAATTGGGTTACGCACAAGTGGCTGAGGAAGCGATCTGTCAGACAGAACTGCTCCTGCCGCAGTGATCTGTGGGATGAGAGGGACCCAGTCTGACTCGCAGAGCCTGGGAGATGGATTAGTCTCACAAATAAGGAATTATCACGTCTTGAAAGCAAAAACCCTAAAGGAGTCGCAGTGAACGTGGAATATCCCAGCACGATTTGCTGTGCCATTTCTTAGAGCCTGAATGGTCCTGTAGCATATGTAATACTCAAGGAAAACGTTTGAAGGTCTTTTGATGTGTTTTTTCGTTGGTTTTTTTTTTTTTTTTTTTTAATAGGTCGCACTCGGAGATGAGGATGACATTATTAAAAGTGCTAATATGTTTTAAAATATCTCCCCGTTTAAGATCAACGGGCTGTGAAGAAACGGCCCATCCATGTTGCCCCAGAGGAACAGTGCTGTTTCCCAACCGTGTTTTAGCAGGTGATTGCCGAACAACAGCCTGCTTTAGGATGCTAGACTCTAACACCCCGAGTCAATCCCAGCCCTATACAACTTATCCGGTGAGAATCTGGTTGCTAACTGCTGAATTTGTAGGTCCCCGATTGTTTCAGCTTGAAGACAAAACACACAATTTCCTTCCCGGGATATCTTTGTTGATTACATTTTAAAAACAATGGTCGAAGTGGAAGGCCAGATCCTGCACTCTGCACCAACCTGCCAGAGAACCATCCTCACCACAGGTCTCTGCTGCAAGTGACAAAATAAACATTTTGTCACACACAAAAGAATCAAGGTTAAATATATCTGGATATCTTAATCTGTATTTAGGTGTTAATGTAAATTGAGTTTATTTAGATTTTGACCGGGCTGGTAATCTCAGACGATCACTCCATTTCAGTTGAGTACACTTCTCCCCTCTTCTGAAACTCAGCTGTTACACCGAGCAGATCTGGGTGACTACATCCCTTCATTTTCAAAGCAGAGTCTGTATGGAAACCACAGCCCTTCACAATTTCAGTTTCAGGAGCATTGGGGTAGCAGCTAAAAGGGCAGGAAAGGATTCCATCTCAGGTGTAACACCTCTGTTCAGAATTCCTCACTTTTCTTATAAAAGCAAAACTCTTGACATTGTAATTCTGTTTTCCTGCACCCTGAATATACAGTTTGTGATTCCACCCACTTCTTTCAGAAAGTGACTATGCTTTCTTCACACTTCTCTCAAAGTTATCTTGGGTTCCCCAGACAAAAATCCACAGCACATTTCAAAATAAGCATGAAACAAAAAGTGCTGCACCTGTAACGCTATTTGTCTTCAGACAGAGTACAGTAAAAATCCTGGCTTTTTTCATTTACTCTCCTCATTTGGTTGTCAGAGCCTTGAACAGTGTCAAGTCTGTTACCTGTCTCATAGAAACATTAATCCCTTCTCTTTTTCAAGCATCATTTGGGGCAGAGGTAAGCACATAAGGCCACATTCAAAAGGCCTATGCGTCTGCACAATGTATTTTCTTCTGCCCATCTACCAGCCTTGTCAACTTCTACTCTGAGAGACCTCAGTGCTTTTATCGACATGATACATTCACACCTCTCCTCAAAATGGAGCACTAGGGAAGATGATTATTCATTTGAATTTCAAAAGAATTAGTGGGGTGTTAACAGCTCCACCCCAACAGGGAGATACACCTATACTCTTACTAAACTGTTTTTAGAGCAGGAAATTATTTCATTTTAACACTAGTATCTACTAATTTGTGTACATCTTTTAACTAGATTTTTGAAGTCAAGATATTTTTTTTTTCTTGAGGGTAGCTGTCATTTATTGGTCTGCTTTCAGCTACATTATCTTCCCAGTACTATCCTTCAAAATAAAACAAACAAACAAAAAGTCAGAAAATAACACTAACAAGCACGAGGAAACAGTAATGCTATTCATATTTAAAAGATTGCTATGAGGAAAAACTGAAATGCTGCCAACATGCTTCAGAATATGAGATATACTAGAAAAAGAGAAAAACAGGATTTATGGAAGTTATGTGAAGTCCATGGTATTGATACGCTTCCTTACAGGGACACAAATGAAGGAGAAGAAACATCCCAGACAAAGTGCTGTAATGACATTATGAAGGAGATGGGACTGCCCTGGATTCAGTCCACACTGAAGCTTTATTAAAAGTGATCTCTCCTCATCTTAGTGCGTTAAATGTCAGATTGTGTCACCCTGGAGGAAGAAGTCCTTACCATCTAAATGAATCTCATCATTATTGATAACACCATCACAAGTCTTATTAATATTGACTACATAGCTTCCATAGGAATTGGTTGATTTTTTTTTTTTTTTCTAAAATAGTTTACAGCTCTCAGAAAGTGCTAGTTTGAAAAAAAAGAAGAAAAAAAAAAAAAACAGAACTTGATGAAATTATATCATTCTTATTCTTTTCACAGGGAATCAAGGGAACATTCCACTTTCATCAGCTCAACTTTTACACAATTAAATGACGTAATGAAGTCTCACCCATAGGGTGGGAAAGCAACAACAAGTTAAAATCTTCTGGTCTGTTTCATTTTGCAAACCTACACCAAAGTCTCCTTTTATTTCTAATTGGATTTACAGCGCATGTAAATCCATGGAAATTCATTGATAATCTGAATACTGGCATTTACAGAAAAAGCACTACAAGGAAATGATCATCTAAGACTCTTGGTACCCCAGTAACATTTAAGTAACAGCATCTTAGCAGCAGAGAGCTGTCCTCCCTGGAGGCAGGCAGCCAGCTGCATGTCTCCTGGGACCATTGCCTACATCATCATTTGAGAAGCCTGTTCTTACTCTGAAGCTCCTGTCACATCGATGGCCGTAAAATGTGCCCCATCCGAGCAGTCCCAAACTGGCCATGCACTGCCAGCAGCCCTCCCAGATGGACCACAGCTGCGCCATCATCCCAAGCACTCTCAAAGGTGCTGCACCGTTTCCTCACACGGCATTCCTAAATAATAATATCTCACGACAGGCTGAGAGTCCTGCCACACAATTTTTTTCCGTTTTACCTCCTACATCCCTAAGGATAAGCATTATTACAGGGCTACACTGTAACACTAGATACAGTCACAAGAGGAGAGGTGGCATCAAGACTCTGAGGAGAAATCTCTCCAGGGTGTCCTCATGGTGAGGTAGAACAGTATTTTTCACACCCATCTTTCGAAGGAACCTTCTTGAGTGACGCCCTTCCCCTTCCCTCAGCAGGACACGACACCGTATATCTGCCTCTTAAGGCATAGTAACCACGATGTATCCACAAAGATAAAAGGCAAAGGATCCTTTTTGTCCTTCCTTTAACCGCACCAGTCACATCACAGCCCGGTGATATCACGGTCACATCATCCAAATACATTCATTTCGTTGTGGTTTGAGGAAAACGCACCGCTATGCTAACTGAAGGCTGATTTAGCACGGGGCTGCAGCCCCGTTAGTAGCAGTTCGGTGCGTGCTCTCAGCAGGGCCCGTCCCGTGCCCGCCAACACGCCTGCGCCCAGCCAGCAGCCCTCACAGAACTTACTAAACTTCTGCCTTGCTGATAACCGCGAGCGGTAGCTTGGAAAACGCAACGGGACCCGCAGCACAGGATGCAAACTCGTTTCCATCACAGGTTTTGCAAAGCGAGATGCCCGCAGACGAGCACACCGCCCATTCTGGATCTCACAGGTTCAGTGGTGGAACTGCAGAGAGCGGACTGGGGGCGGGTGCGATCTCTAGGGGCCGCGGGTGGGGGGCGGGCGGCGGACCCCGGCCGGGCGGACAAGAGGGAGGGCGGCAGCGGCGAGGTGCGACGGCTGCGGAGCTACAGCTCCCCCTGCCGCTGCCGCTGTGCGGGGCTCCGCGGCTTCCTAAGGGGAGCCGCCACCGCCGCCGTCGTCAACCCTTCCCCGCGGGACGGCAACCGGCAGCTGAAGGCCGAGGGCAGCAGGCGCGGCCCCCCGGGGCCGGGGGAGCAGGAAGGGGCCGGGGAGAGAGCGACGAAGCCGGGAGCCGGGCCCCTTCCCCCACCGCCTCCCGCACAAGGGGGTGTGTCAGCGCGGCGAGAGAGGGGGATGGGGAGGAGGGGAGCTGATAAAGGCGGTGGGCTGGGCGACGGGCGGGGCCGCGCGCAGCCATTGGCCGTTGCGGGGAGTGATGTCACCCATATGAAACGCTGATAACGCGTCGGGTGCGGAGCCGCGAGTTTTGCAGAAGGGGCAGCGCGCGCGGCGGGGCTAGGCGGGCCGGCGGCGAGGCCGGGGCAGAGCGCGGCGCCCAGCACAGCCCAGCCGCGCCCAGCCCCAGCCCGGCCGTGCCGAGCCGTGCTGCGCTGCGGGCGGCGGTCCACCGGCCGGCGGTACGGTACAACGCGGCGCCCGGCTCGCAGGGCAAGGTGCGGCGGTGGGAGGGGGCGGCGGTCGGCGCGCAGCGGAGCGCCGTGGGGGAGCCCAACGATGGTGCAGCAGGCGGAAAGCGCGGAGAGCGAGAGCAACCTGCCCCGGGAGGCGATGGACACCGAGGAGGGCGAGTTCATGGCTTGCAGCCCGGTGGCTCTGGACGAGAGCGATCCGGACTGGTGCAAAACGGCGTCGGGGCACATCAAGCGACCGATGAACGCTTTCATGGTGTGGTCTAAGATCGAGAGGAGAAAAATCATGGAGCAGTCGCCGGACATGCACAACGCGGAGATCTCCAAGCGCTTGGGCAAGCGGTGGAAAATGCTGAAGGACAGCGAAAAGATCCCTTTCATCCGGGAGGCGGAGAGGCTGCGGCTCAAGCACATGGCTGATTACCCCGACTACAAGTACCGGCCCAGGAAAAAGCCCAAAATGGACCCCTCGGCCAAGCCCAACGCCGGCCAGAGCCCCGAGAAGAACGCTCCCGGCGGCGGCAGCAAGAGCGCCAAGAGCTCGGGCAAGAAGTGTAGCAAGCTGAAGGCCGCCGCCGCCTCGCCCCCCAAGCCCGGCGCCAAAGCCGCACCGCACGGGGACTACGCGGGGGACGAGTACGTCTTCGGCGCGTTGAAAGTCAGCAGCAAGGCGGTCAAGTGCGTCTTCGTGGACGAGGAGGAGGAGGACGAGGAGGACGAGGACGAGCTGCAACTGCGGATCAAGCAGGAGGCGGACGACGAGGAGGAGGACGAGGAGCCGGGCCCGCAGCAGTTACGGCGGTACAACGTGGCCAAAGTGCCGGCTAGCCCCACCTTGAGCTCCTCGGCGGAGTCCACCGAGGGGGCGAGCCTCTACGAGGAGGTGCGAGGCGCGGCGGGCGGCGGCAGACTCTACTACAGCTTCAAGAACATCACCAAGCAGGGCCCGCCGCCGCCGCAGCCGCCCGCCGGCCTCTCGCCCGCCTCGTCCCGCTCCATCTCCACCTCGTCGGCCGGCAGCGAGGAGGCGGACGACCTCCTGTTCGACCTCAGCCTCAACTTTTCGCAGCACGGCCACGCCGCCGCCGAGCTGGGGGCGGGGGCCGCCGCCGGCAACCTCTCCCTCTCGCTGGTGGACAAGGATCTGGACTCGTTCAGCGAGGGCAGCCTTGGTTCCCACTTCGAGTTCCCCGACTACTGCACCCCGGAGCTGAGCGAGATGATCGCGGGCGACTGGCTGGAGGCCAATTTCTCCGACCTGGTGTTCACGTACTGAGCGGGCGGAGGCGGCGACGGGAGCGGCGGACGCCGGCGGTGGTGATGGTGGTGATGATGATGATGCTTAAAAAAAAAAAAAAAAAGTCTTCTTTAAAAAAAAAAAAAAAAAAATCCTGATGTTAGTTCCGAGCCCGGGAGTTGTGATTTTTTTTTTTTTAAATTTATTTTATTATTTTTTTTTTTTGTTACATTTGGTGATCACAACAACAACAGCAAAGGCAAATGGGACTGGGGGAAAAAATGCTACAGAAGGCGCTGTTCGAAGCTTGGCGGTCTCTGATGGAAGGCTGGAAGATGGTCTGCGAAGAAGTCTTTTGGCAGCACAACTGTTACTCAAGGGGGTTTGTGGATTTTTTTTTTTTTTTTTCCCGTGAGAGATCTTAAAAAACTGTTCTGATTATTTTTTTTTTAATTATTTTTTATTTTCTCTGAAAGGGACCATTGCAACTCTTTTTTTTGGAGGGAGAAAACTGATGTCTTCTATGCATCCGATTCTTAACAAAGCTGCAGGGAGCTTGAAAAAATGCAGACTGTACAAACGCTTACAAATAACTGAACTGACTTAAGATCAGAGTTTACTTTTCAGATCAAATTGTTTATGGTTTTACAAATGTGATTTCTACTTGCCAACCTTTTTTTTTGTAACTTGTTCCCTTATACCTCCTTGATTGAATACCAGACAGCCTAGACCTCAGTACAAAAAGGTATTGAAACATTTTTGATACATAACAGACCTCAGTCTTTTTTAAAAATTAATATATTTTCAGGCGTATTTTTGTACAGTGAAAAGGGAACATTCTTGCTGTGTTTTTTCAGTAAGACTTTTCAGGCACTTCTTCCCTTTTATTTTCTTTTTTTTCCTCTGTTTTTAGCATGCAAGTTTGTTGGTACGTTACGTCCTGGTTTTAAAAGGATTAAAATTAAAAAAAAAAAAAATAATCCTTGCATCTAAAGGCCTTGTGGTTTAAAAAAAAAAAAAAAAAAAAAAAGAAAAAAAGAAAAAAAAAAGAAAAAAGAAAAGAAACAAACACTTTTTTTTTGTACAGCTATAGTTCAGATTTGTTCAATATTTGTAGGTAAAGATTTATTGAAAATGGTGATATAGACCTCAGAGCTGTTATCTTAGTTTAAAAGATTGTATATGTACTGTACTATAGTAGGACTTTATGTATCTCATACGCTGTGATATGTGGATGGGGCCCCAGATGGAAGGTATGAAACTGGATTCTCGATTTTAGCAAAAAAAGAAAAAAGAAAAAAAAGGCACATAGTTAAAAAAAAAAAAAGTTTCTCATGTTGTGCAATATAATCTAAAGTACAGACCATCTGCATATTTTGTAGCAAATGATGACAAAAGCAGACTTGTGCACTGTCAACATCATAGCCTGTTTTTTTTTTGGTTTTTTTTTTTTTTTTTTTTTTTTTTTAATGCTGAAAGTCTGTATCTTGACAATTTTAATAAATCAGCTGGAACTGATAGAAACTCGTATCGCTATTAGTGTCTGTAGAATAACGCTGGAGATGCCGTGATGTCACCCCTCGCCTCGGAGGAGCGGTAGCTGCAGGCTGTTGTGCATGACCCTAGCTAGGGGGAAGGAAAGAAGGACTCGGTGCCTTCAACATTTTTTTCCCCGACCCCTTTCCCTCCGCGCTCCCATCGGGCAGGGCCGGGATGTGCCGGTGCGGAGCGGCCGTGGGTTCGCCCCGCTCCGTGCCGGCTCCCCACCGCTGTCCAGGGAGCGGCCCGGCCCTCCCCGCATCCTATTGCCGGGGGCACGGCGGGGCCCGCTCCCCACCCCAAGGCGGCTCCCCCTTTCCGTGTTGTTTTTTTTTTTTCCCCTTCTCCCCGTTTTGCTGAGCCGTGCCGCGGGGATGCTTCGTGCCCGCATCTCTGTCTTCGGGCAGAGCTCAGCCCGTGGAGCCCCTCCGGAGGGGCGTGGGAAATAAAGGGGGTACGAGCTTCTGCTGTAGGCGAGCAGACTTCGGCAGTGTGCGCTTCTGGAGATCTTTTTTTAATTTTATTTTTTTTTTCCTAAGGAGCCATCAGATTTCAATTGCCCTTTCTGATGGCAGCAAACAGATTCACGAGGTGGAAGTTTGTTTCTTGAGTAGTTTACTTTTTATCTGATAGGCATTGCTATTTTTTTTTTTTTTTTTTCTCCACTTATTACTGATCCAGCTGTTTACAGGGACAATTCACTGTGCTGGTATTTTGGTGGCAACCACTGCTACAGGCTTTCAGACTTGCTGAAATGAAAATCCTGCATACACATTTGTAAGGCATAATAAAACATAACATTGAAACCTGCATGCATGTTATGTTTAATCAAGGACAACTCTTAGGCATTTAAGTGGTGAGATATCTTACTTTAGGTTAGTTAAATGAACTGGTAGTAAAATGATTAATATAATCTGATCTTTCTAATAATAATAATAAAACACTCATGATTCTAAATAAAAGTTGTTTGGCCTAAATCTTTGCTATCAGAAAAAAAAAAAAAAGATATAGCATATCTGGGAACTCAAATTTATGTCTTGCATTGTGATAATTCTTTATGAGAAACTGTGTTTTAAAACAAACAAAATTACAATATTCAAGATATCCTTGGCAATGGATAGTCCTCAATAAAACAGAGTTTCTTGAATTTTCAGTTTTTGGTCTCAACTGATTAGTGTGTTCTCCATGTAATTAACTTAGAAATCAGATTGAAAACAAATGACATTTATCTCTTCTAAGGCAAAAGAGTGAAAGAAAATAGATGCGCTGAAGTGCTGTAACCTAGCCATTCACTACCCTGCTATTAAAGACCCCTTCTCGGGCTAGGGCGATGGAGTAAGTTGATCAGGTTCTAAGTCTTAATACTGAGCCAAAATTCTCTTAGTAATTCTTCTAGCTATCATGAGAACATGGGGACTTAATCTTCTGGCCCCTTTCTTCTGATATGCATCCTTGTTTGTTAAAGTAATAATAGGCAGTGTCATTAAGCATTTGTGCTTTACAGATGTTCAATGAGTTATGAATGATTATGGTCAAATATGGGCTGGATTTGGTTTGCATTGTAATAATGTCTGTGTCTCAGCCTGCAGGAGTTTTGACTTGCATATATTTTTGGAAGATGTTTTTTTAAAACTACCATTTAAGATATTAGTCAATGATAACTAATGTAAAGGGTCCAAGTGTAGAGCAGTCAGGCATATTTTAAAAGAGCAACGGGTCTACTTTAGTCAAAAAGTGTAACACCCACACAGAAGTATATCCTTTCTTCTGGTTGGGAATGATACAGTTCTATATCACAGGAATATTTTGAGTGAAGGTGTATAGTGCAGGGAGATACTTTTTGTCTGGACAGTTTGACTTTCATTTACTGCGGAGTTTATTGTTGCCTATTGCTCAAGAACAATTTGGTGGTGGTGTTTTTAAGCCACCACGCTGTTAGGGCTGAATTGTGATGCTGTTGGATGCCTAAGCTCCTGCTGATTTCAATGAGAGTAAGATACAATCTTCTAATCAGGAAAAATAGCATCTGCTATTACTCTCATATTTTTGCTTTTGTCATTTCTAATAATATTCCTATCTCCAGCTCCTATTCCATTTTTAGTGCACGTAGAAATCTTTGTTGACCTGCTAGAGCAGTCCTGTTGCGGGCTTAATATCTCCCGTGGCATTTTTTGTCCACATTTTTTTGCATTTGTCTCCATACGATGCTATTCTAAGTGTACTAAGACTTAGTGGTAAGGAGAGAGAAGTGAGGTGTGGTTTTGGTTTTTTAGTGTGGAAAAACAGTTTGCTTTGTAACAGTAAGGATGTCAACTCAATGTAAAACTTAATCCAATATGGTGATTCTTTTTAATTTCACTATAAGCATTTGTGTTACCATTTTCCCCCTTTGGTTGTTTTACTCCCTCCCTCTCTCTTTTACAAGAAATACACTTATGAAATACTTTCAATCCTTGAGGTGCAGTCTTTTATAAATGTGGTAGGAAGACTCATCCCAACCATCCTTTAGGTGCTACATGCTCTCTAGTTATTCACTGTCATTTAGATTAAACTTCTCCAAGTCTATTGAATGTGATTTGCATGCTTGCAGTCTGATCCTTCACTCATGCCTGTTTTAGGAAAGTGCAACTCTGGTGTTACAGTGAGGTACAACTGATGTGGGGTCAAAGTCAGGGCCTTATATGCTTTAAGTGTTTTGATATTCAACACAGCTCATTAAGTTACTTTATACAACTTCACAGTTGCTGCCTAGTAAGGCCTTAAACCTGCACTGTTGGGTTTTTTGGGTTTTTTTGGTGGTTTTTTTTGTTTTTTTGAAAAAATTCTCATTGAGCTTAATGGGAGTTTTTGCCTCAAGGGCTGCTGGCAGGATAGGTGTCTTAGTCTTCGTAGCCTTCATTCATATGCATGGCCAGAACAACAACAACAAAAAAAGGAAAAAAAAAAAAACAAAAAAAAAACAAACAAAAAACAGAACAACAAAAAACAAAACAAAAACATAAAACCAAGAAGACTTAATTCAATGAGTTGCCTTACATTCCCCCTCCTGTACGGTTGTATTCCTTTGGTTTGGTTCCTTCTCCCTCATCCACATCGAAGGCTGTGATTGTTTTTGTTTTTCTTAATTTTTTTGCACACTACCTATACCAATTAACTGCCTAATTAGTTTTATCTTCTCTACATGGATGCAGTGAATTTGTAAGAGAATTTCACAAGCAAGTAGTTTTTTAGTGAGTTTAAAGTAAATAGAGTTTTAAAGACCTATTTTTATATTCAATATAAAGCACAAATGTGCAGAAAGTGTAGAATGACTTACAAAAAGGGAAACAAAAGTTCGTAATATTTCATGTATAAAAGTAATACCTTCTTTGGGTTGGGATTCTCTTAGAAAACCCAATACTTATGCCAGTGCAAAGATAGGAATATTTTAAAAACTCTTAGAAAATTGTGATTGACAGCAATTTCAAAGGAATGACTTCTGTAGATATGAGGAAACCCCTAAAGCAATATGGATAAGAAGGGGTGAATGGTTTTCAATGATGAACAACAACCTGGAAGTGTGAGAATGGAGGTTTCAATCCTTATTAATTAATCAATTTTCTTCTTTTGTGGTTAGTTGCAACATCTGGATTTTCTGTGAAGTGCAGTCTTGTAGGATGAAAAAGCCGAACTTCTAAGACCTGCAAATGCTCAGAAGCAGGTTTAATTTAGCATGATGTACTATTAATTAGGGGGTTTGGGTTTTGGTAACTCTCGCTTTCAAGAAAATCGAGATCCTGATTTACCACTTGAAGAAATTTGATCAACTATTAACGATTAATCCAGGAACTCCCATTGTCACAGTTTGTTTTTGTTTCCATTGTCCTGCTTATCTCCAAAACCAACTTGCCTCAACTCCTGGCTAAACCAGGGAGAAGAGTTATATGCCATTGTTAGTTCATTTACAATTTGTATCTGGTTTTGCTCTTGTACATATGTTGGCGTTTTGGAGTCTTTACATAAATGCTGTGGTACTTTTTTTCTTCTTTTTATTTTTTGGTGGGCTGTTTTAAAATGGAGGCCTGTTTTCCAGTGTGGGACTTTTGATGGTTACAACATTTCAATGATGTTGCATGATGGCCACAGGTGGGGGAAATTGAATGTTTTAGAGCAGTTTTTCAAGCATGACACTTTTAAAATATGTAATTTCAAAGACTTTTCAAGGCCACGTGAAATTAGTTTTCATAGCCACTCCAGGTCTTGGGGGGAAAGCTGAAAAGTACTTTTGTTTAGAAGTCTGAGTGATGGTGGGGGGGAAACCTTTTCTTGAGGTTTTTGCATGCCAGTGCACAGCCTATTGCTGTGAGAGAAGGAAGATGGGAAGGCTGCTTGAGGCGATGCACTGGAGGACAAAGTGTTTTCTAGCACTAGAAAGAAAATGCATGGCAAAGTTTTGTCTTCTAGTAGACTATATAGCATGCAGAGTTTAGTATGTGTCAAAACAGTGTATGACATTGCTGTATCAAAGTTGTAAAATTAAGCATTATTTATTGAAAACTATGTATTTTTTTTGTAAAAACCTGATCACCTAGAGGATTAATATCAGTGACTTGTGCTAGTGCTACAAACTTAACCAGCTTCTTTACTACAGTACTTGATATGCAGTGTTAATGCTCAGGGTTGAAACCAGTCCACTCCAATGTCTTTTTTTGCAAGAGTTTTTAGATAAAGGAACAACATAATGCAATTGTTCAAAAGACTCTAATAAAATTGTGTGATCAATCTTTCTATGTGTTTTTATGTGGATCTTTTGTTTTGTTTTGTTTGTTTGGTTTTTTTTCAGTGTTGCATTTGGTAAATGCAGTTCAGCAATTTTAGCAAATCCATTCTTCATTCTGTGGGCACCCAAAGCTGCAAGTCAGTGGGAATGCTGTGTCTTTCAGCAAAAGAAAAACCAAAACACAACACAAAACCCTCAACAGATAGTTATGGTCAAGGCATAGAGGGTAAGTGCAGTTCTGGGCACATCTGAGAGACACCAAAACAGAAAATGAGTCAATTAACTTTTTTTCTTGGTTCATATTCTGGATAAAACAATATTTTATGCCAAGCATTTCAAATATAGCTTTAAATTTGATCATGACAGAATGAAATAAAATGGATTACATGCCAGCAAACCCCATTTCTCTCTGTATCTTTTTCTATAAGCAATTTACCATCTAAATGTATTTTGGCATAGAAAAAAGAATCAATCTGTATTAAGATTCTAGTTATGAAAATGCTTTTATGAGAACCCTGTAATCAATTCTTGGAACTATAAAAAAAGGTGTTTTTAATGTGCTTATGTGGTGAAAGTTTGTTGTATATTAAATATGATTTTATAGAAACAATGGAGTTATATTGTTACGAATTAAAAATCTGCAATTAGCACATCTTTTGCTGAAACAAACCTTGAAGAGCTTCTGCCTGTAGACATATTCCCTTGCTTCCCCCAAAAAGTATACAAGGCTCTCTCCTGCTTGTATTTAATTTCTGTACTTCCTCAACTTATATAGGGGTGACAATATCAACTAGTAATAGCTTCGTTCCCATCAGGGTTGTTGTTGGTTCATATATACCCCTAGTATCTCAGAAATAATAGAAAAAATATTATCAACTTCAGCTGTAGCTCCTATAAACGTTTGCATTTGAGAAACATCAATTTACCATATCTAAGATTCCAGATCTTCTTGTATGAATTTTGAGCATAGCTCTTCCCATTGTCCCTGTTGTTATCACAGCAGCTGAATATATTTCTTTCTCAAAAAAAAACAACCAACCAAACAAACAAAAAAACTATTTACTAGATGACAAGTAATTATGTCTGTTTAACCTAACAAGTTTACTGAGAACGCTGAAACAACATTTATAATTTCAAAATTCTGTTCTGGTAGTATTTTTTGTGAGTGGAGGTGCATGACTGACGTGACATATAAGTTTGATTTGGATGCGTCATAGTAAGGATAGGAAATTTGAGGTGGTCATTCTAAATCAGTAAAATGGAGTCTTTATATACAGCCATCACACCACTGTCCTTCCTGTATTTATCAAAAGAGGTTTTAAAAATCATTTCAGAGATACTTAGAGGGGTTTGAAACACTGCAGTGAAAGTACATCATTTACATATTATATATTTCCTGTATCGTTTAAGGCTCAATGCATACAGCCAAAAGCAAACAGTAGCAATCTTACAGAACAGAATTTGTCTCTATATCATGTCAAATGACTCTTGTTTTTGGTTCTTTCTGAGTCCAAACTCAGAGAAACGTCATAGCTTTGCTGGAAAGTGGAATTTCAGTTCTTAATTATCAGGTCCTGCTAGTGCCAGAGGCCATTTCTGCATCACACACTAGGAATCCTTCCTATTCTGTGTTTGGAAGTGTGTTTGGATTGGTAAACCACATCCTAAAACTATCATTTTGGAGGCAATTGCCATAGGAGTTCTCTCTGTTTCATATGGAAGGCAAGAAAAGAGCATGTTTGGGGAAAGGAGGAAAACACTGACTTTGCATTTCAGGTTTGATTAGTATGACCTCAAGTTTGAGCTTTGCGTCTCATCCTAGAAAAGATGCATGAAAACATGAGGTGTAGGTAACACAGATCCACAGAGATATACGAATACATGTTATCCCCAAAATCTTATAAGTTTTAAGGTATTCTTTCATGCCCTATTAAATTTTGCTAGAATAAAATATCTGCCACAATATCACTATCTCCTGTTACAGAAATTCCCACCACAGTTGAAGGATCTTGTCACTTTCCCTTGAAATTTCATGTTTACACTTACTTGCATCTCTCTGACATTTACGTAAGCTAAAGCATTTATGATAAATCACTTTTTCTGCCTATCACAAAATTCAGTTAGAAGATGATGACTATCTTCAACCAAAATTGAGTCATGTATATACTCTAAAACGTATTTGAAAGTCTTTCTGAATCACAGAATCACCTGGGTTGGAAGGGACCTCAAGGATCATGTAGTTCCAACCCCCCTGCCTAGCAGGGCCACCAAACATACACATTCAGATCAGGTTGCCCAGGACCCCGTCCAACCTGGCCTTGAACACGTCCAAGGACGGGGCATCCACAACCTCCCTGGGCAGCCTGTTCCAGGGCCTAACCACTCTCCTTGTGAAGAACTTCCCCCTAACATCCAACCTAAATCTTTCCTCCTTCAACTTGGATCCATTTCCCCTAGTCCTGCTGTCCTCCTTTCTCACTCAAGTCTTAATGTTTGCAAACATAGAAAACATAGAATGGGGCAGGATTCATTTGCAAGCAAGCGGAACTGCTCATAAGAATGGCTGTTCATAAATACATATAAAAAAAATAAAATTATCACTTGTATTTGTTACATTAAGTTTTATATACTAATGCAGCATTTTGGCATCTTGTATTGTCCTGCTTTTTGCTGGAGCAGTTGATTTTCATTATCATAAAAGGCCAAAAACAGGACACATATGCAAAGCTTGTTTCTCTAAGACATTAAATGTGAATGAAATTAAAACTCTGCCATAACATTATGAATGTTGAGATCACATTTTCAGGCCAGTACCAAAACCAAGAAGTAATTTTGGGTATAATCATCACTTACACTCACACCTGGTCTTTACTTGATGAGCTGCTCTGCATGTCCTGCAGTCCTCTAAATCTCTGCAAAGCCTGCCCACCTAATTTCATTCACCTTTTTCATTGAGATTCACACTTTTAGGCTCTCACACTTTTTAGAGATGAGAACCAATCTGCTCCCATAACAGTGCCACTGCAGTGCAAAGCCTTTCTTTCTCTTTCAAAA